TCGAAAGAGAAGAGGGAAAAGACTGAATTGATTGAAACGATAACCGATTCGTTAAGAGAAAAACAAGCAGAAGTCGAAAGACTGAATAAATCTATGAAAGAGTTGGAAAAGAGTTGTAAAGAGTTTGAGGAATCGAGGACTTCAGTGATGGACGACTGCAATGAATTGAGAACTACTCTAATGGAAGTGGAAAAGTCTCGACTCGACATCAGACGAGAACTTAATGACTATAAAATCAATAGCTCTTCACTCGAGAATAAACTCAAATCTAAAGACAATGAATTACAAGACGTGAAGAGACGATTGGAAGCGATTAAGAATGAAAGGAATTCACTAAAGGATTCACTCGATTCGTCGAGGTATGCATTGAGACAATTAGGGACTTAAGGATCACTAAAATATATTTTATTTATTTAGTAAATCGTTGACACAATTAAAAGACATGAATACGAATCTCACGCAACGGAATAAGCAATTAATGGCACAAATGTCGTTCAGTGAGAACGAGCGCCGGGAGTTTGAAAAACAATTGAGTTTCTCATCGACGGCTATCACTGATCGGGAGAACAACGTATCGTTACTTAAAAAAGATAACGAATCGCTCAAAGAATTGGTGAAAAAGTTAGAGAACGAAAAGAAGAGACTTGAGAGGAGTTACTCTCTCATTGAAAAAGAGAAATACGTTCTCAAGAATAGTTTAGACGACTTCCAGAGGAAGAGCAGCAAAGTGTTCGACAACTCACACAACAATCACTCCAATGATGTGATTATAGATGAGGCGAAGATTATTACTCAAGGATTGGCTGCACTCGAACTCAAGAACATTGAATTGCAGAGAAAAGTACAGGGATTGCAGTCATTGATGAATGAAACAGAAGGTCTCAATGGGACTGATTCTGATCATCCCGTTAATGGCAGCGCTTCCGATGATTTGCAACGATTACGGTTGGCTCAGAAACACGCTGAAGAACTCATCGATAGGAAGGACTTCTCGAGTAAACATCTCTCCAATTATGAGAAAGAGGTTTATTTGATAATTATTGGTATTATTATTACTATTTATACTAACAATCGTTTTTTGCTAAAAGTTGAGTCGATTTTCATTGAGTCCGAGTTTGACGACAACTCCGCCGCGATTTAAAGAGCCGCCAATCCGTTCGCATTCTGTCTCAAGAACAGGTCACCTAAAGCACCAAAACACAGACACTTCCACTCCTTTGCCGTCATATTCATCCACTTCTGGTTCAAATAACGCGAAACGAAAATTGAATTATAATAAGAATTAAGAAATGTTTGAAATGGACTCACATTTGGATCTAGTCTTTCGTTGTTTAGTATTTCTATCAAAGTGTTCAGTATTTTTTGTAAATCTCTTACTAATTAACTCATTATTCCTGAGCCGTCAGTATTTAGTTTCTATAAAATTCTTTAGGTTTTACTCAAAACAAAACAAATATTACTTAATTTAACTCAACATTCCTTTCAATTCCACTAATTATTGACAACACATGAGTATTACATAAACCATAAGATTCTGTATTAATGACCAAATATTCATTAATTTTATTCCTATGACTCGACTTATTATTTTGTAATTTATATATAATTTCAACTAAATTGATATTTTATTTTTACAGTTTTATATTCTTTTTAATTGACTACATTTTGTTAAATAATTACTATTTTGTTTTATTTGTCAAATACTTAATTTATTCTATCATTACATCTAATATCTCAGTACTAAATGATTCCGTCCTTCACCTAAAGTGCCATTAAATGTGTTTAGATTTCATCGATTAATAATTGCTTTTCATTTCACATGTAATTTAATACACTTTTAAATTTATTCACAAATAAAACATTTTGATTTTATCGATAAACGGTATTTATATGATTATATGAATTATAGTTTTTAGTAAACTTTTAAACACTTAATACGGCACTTATTCTTAATGAATGAGTAAAGCGGTTATTAAGTACTATTAGTGAGAGAATTTCGATTAAAATGTATTCATTTAGTCAAACATCTTAAGAAATGCATGTTTTTCCTATCAATTGGTATAAATATTTACTTTAAAACGGCGATAAAACCTAATAACTCAATGCATTTGTTGTCTCATAATTAATATGTGCTAAAAAACAGGCATTTCATTGAAGGTCATGACATGATCGCCAGCTTTTACTTTATTTTAATATGTCTTTCTTTACATCAAATATATTTGAATCCAATTTAATAACAGTTTGTCTAAAATTTATATAACTTGTATAATACAAAAATCTAAATATATTTCTATTAAAACATTGAATAAAGGCATTCAATTATTACACAATATGGGAAACAATGTGTTTCAATTAGGCAATATTGTTTCATAGATTGAAAACACTATTAATGGTACAGACATTAGAAATTCATATGAGATTTGGATCAACAGATCTTTGGGTAAAATTCAATTATAATCAAACCAAACGAGTATCTCTTGTATGATATTTTAACTTATGTTACATTGATTTGGATTACAATTAAATATTATTTCGTAAAAACATTCAAAACTAATAGAAAAGGATATAAAAGTGAGAGAAAGAGTAGGATTTGGTTGGAAGACAGCGAAGAACTGGAATTACATCCGTCTTCTCTGCACTCACAGACATGGGTTTTGACGGAAGGGTTGGCCGTTTTGTAGCA